TATCTAACGTTTTTTTTTTCTTTTTTTTTTTTTTTTTTTTTAAAGAAAGATTTCAATTACACCTTCAGCGTTGAATTTTAAATATATTATTACTGAAACTTAAAATCTCAACTAAATAAAAAATCAACTATACTACCATTTATATTTACAAATTTTTATAATCTAAAACTTTTAAGTATTGAAGTTTTAACTCTATTACAAGCTTAGTTCAAACATAAATAAAGGTAAAAAATAGTATACTTTAGTTTAGTTCAAAATTTTGATTCTTTTTTTTTTTAAATAAAAATTTTATTCAGTTCAGGCTCTGTGAAAAAAGTTACTAGTTCCTGTGAAAAAATTTTATTCAGTTCAGACTCTAGTTCCTGTTACTAGTTCTTTTTTTATATAAAATTTTTTATATAACGTTCTATCTGTGACTCTATTTTACGTATTTCTACCGCTTTATACTAAAGAGACATGTAATTAAAAAAAAAAAAACACTAAGGAGACATGTCAGGTGTCGTCATACGAGAAGTGTACTAGTAAATTGCTAAAAGTACGTGACAGATGCATCTAAATTGTACGAGAAATAAAAGTGATTCTTTTTTTCTTTGTTAAGAGTGTAAATATTCTTGAATTGACAAGAGTGCATTAAATTAGTGGATTTATATTATGATTCAGATTATAATTTATAATTTATTATAATTTTTTTTATTAAAAAATTATATAAATTAAAATTAATTTTAATTTATAATTTTAAATTTATAAATTAAACGTGCACTTAAAAATCACACAATTAATAATTGATAAATTTCAGTACTATTTGCATGCCCGTACAAGTGGTACTACATTCACATGGCATAATTTTTTTTATTAAAAAATTATATAAATTAAAATTAATTTTAATTTATAATTTTAAATTTATAAATTAAACGTGCACTTAAAAATCACACAATTAATAATTGATAAATTTCAGTACTATTTGCATGCCCGTACAAGTGGTACTACATTCACATGGCACGTACAAACATGTGTCACTCCCATGCAATTTCTCTTTCTGAATCATCTTATACATAACACCAAAAAAAAAAAAAAAAAAGAACTTATTACTAACCAAAACCCTAATTTCGTCACAAGATTTTGAGGGGAAAAAAAAATGTCCTCCATTTCTGCAATCTCAAACACCGTTCTCAAAAGAACCATCCCATTTTGTTCAAGAAGATCAATTTACACAATTATTAGTACCACTCCAATATCACATGCATCACTACTACTCTCTAACGGTGCAATTTCAATAAGAAAACATGTGATTACTCGTAGTAGTATCCAAGATCTTTTAATTATGGCGTCGCGGGACCCACCGGAATACCCCACCAGGATCCCGCCGGAGATTCCCTCAACGCCGCCGCTGAAGCACGATCCCTCTTCGGTCCCACTCGAGGTGCCGCCGCTCACCACCTCGCCGCAGGTCGACCCCGGCGAAGCCCCGTCGGAGGTGAAAGAGAATCTTCCGCCGTACGGGACCGAGGCGAGGCCGGAAATCGAGTTCCCTAAGCCGCCGGTATCACCACCACCGAAGCCGGACGTCCCGCCGATGCCGCCCGGGCCGGATATCTTGCCACCGGATCGGCCGCCGGGACCGGAGATTGACCCTCCGAGAATGCCGCCGCGGGATGTTCCCCCTATGAGGCCTCCGGGGCCGGAGATTGTGCCGCCGCCTAATCTGCCGCCGGATATTAAGCCACCGCCTGGGAGCCCATTTGGGGACTTTGGCTTCACGATCTAATTCAGGTGTGAAAGGAGCTACTAATATATATATATATATATATATATATGTATATGTATGTATGTATATATATGTATAGCTATAAAAGATTGGTTATGTAATAGGCAATATAATATAGTACTTGTGTAAGAAGTTTTTGAGGAGATTTTGTGATTGGGAATATTGGGATGCTCTCCACTCACTTTTAAATCTCTATCATGTCTCTCTTTATTTTGGTAAAAGTTCCAGTTCCATTTACTTTTGCTTTGCATCTATCGTTGCTTGTGTATGTTGGTAAGCCGTATAAGCTTAAAGGAAGAAAGAGATCAGAGACATTTGACTAGTATTGAATAGTATATATACAGGGCTCGTTCAATTTCGAGTTTTTAATTCGAGTTGAGAGAGATGTAACTTGAGAGTTTTTTACTGTACCCAGGACTGATTTTGAAAATTTTTTTTACTGTAGCAAAATTCGAATCGGTAAAATGAGCTACAACTCGAATCGGTGAACGGGCCATAACGTTTTGAGCATTCCCAAAAAAGCAACAAATGTAATATCAAGGTTAAAAAGTAAAAAAGGACAAATCTCTATTTCAAAACCAAATTAAGGGTTTAATTTGGTTACATTATAAAGAATTAAAGATGCATCATGCATCATGATGGAAAAAATAAAAGCTAGCGCGCACTACTGCAATTGGAGGTACTGGAAGCGATGGACCAAAAAGCGAACAAACGAGGTGGTGTGTCTATTTCTGGTAAACGACAATATGCTTTTCTGTGGAAATTAGTGTCTGGTTAATTAGGATCGTAGAATTTTAATGTTGGGGAAAAAAAATGTAGTATCTAGGGAAGGAATATCGGGTCGCATTGTCGGTTTAGTCTTTGAAAGTATAATGTTGTTCGAGTTAGAGAAGGACGTGTTTGTTGAGTTGTTAGAACCTCTGTGATTGTTACCTAGCAGCCACACACGGATCACTCTTTAAAGTAAGAGCAACTCCATTAATCATGCTAGTCATTTTCATGTTTTTAGCCATTTTAGCTAAAATACTAATGCTATGGGTTGGTTTGTTTTTTTTTTTTTTTTTTTTTTCCTCCAACCATCGACTAAAAGGGATACCAATTTAAATCTTAATTTTTGTGTACCAATTGATGTGACATGTGAGTTATTAATTTTTTATTGATGGGTGTTTAAAACATTACAACATCAATTAATATAATAAATTGTATCTATCTGATAACTCACATGTCACATTAATTAGTATATAAAAATTGAGATTTGAGTTGGTCTTAACTAAATAGTTTGCTATTTTAAAGAAGGCTTACATTAGCTAAGATAATTCCAACCATGCTAGTAATTTCATGCTTTTAGTTAAAATAGTTAGTGATTGTTTGTTGAGTTGTTAGAACCTCTGTGATTGTTACCTAGCAGCCACACACGGATCACTCTTTAAAGTAAGAGCAACTCCATTAATCATGCTAGTCATTTTCATGTTTTTAGCCATTTTAGCTAAAATACTAATGATTTGGGTTGGTTTGTTTTTTTTTTTTTTTTTTCCTCCAACCATCGACTAAAAGGGATACCAATTTAAATCTTAATTTTTGTGTACCAATTGATGTGACATGTGAGTTATTAATTTTTTATTGATGGGTGTTTAAAACATTACAACATCAATTAATATAATAAATTGTATCTATCTGATAACTCACATGTCACATTAATTAGTATATAAAAATTGAGATTTGAGTTGGTCTTAACTAAATAGTTTGCTATTTTAAAGAAGGCTTACATTAGCTAAGATAATTCCAACCATGCTAGTAATTTCATGCTTTTAGTTAAAATAGTTAGTGATTTTTTTTTTCCTCTACTCCCTCCAATCATTAATTAAATGGTTAGTTATTTTAGAAAATATTTTCTACACTAACTAAATATAATTAGCATTCCATATAAGCTAGCTATTTTATTTTTTTAACTGTAATAAATACAAAAATTCTTTTGTAAAATTAATAAAATTATTATATTTTAAATTTAATAAATATTAAAATAATTTATATTTAGTTAAATTAGAGAGTATGATTGGAGTGATTTAGTTGATAGTTAAAATGACTTTTTAATCATTTTAGTTAAAATTTAACTAAAATTAATCATTTTAGTTAAAATTAATCCAAGAGTAATTAAAGAGTTGCGTTTTTAATCTAAAGTTTTTCGCTTTTATTTTTTATTTTTTTAACGGAAAAAGTTGTGAGGGTACATTTTTCTCATAAATTTTTTTATGATAGTGAATTATTGTAACGGTCTTAAAAGAGAGGACACGGTCTTAAAGGTGAATTTACTCATATAAAAATATGAGAAAATTATTAAATTTATTCTTAAAGTGTATGGATCTTGATTTTTATCTTTTATTCTTATTAATATTTTTTTGACTAATATAATTATTTAACTAAAAAGAATATTAATAAAGATCTTTAATTACCTTTTAAAATTAAGGCGTCTAACAACTTTTTAACAACTCGAGCTAGAAAAAGGGCGTATAATTCCAGTATTCCTGTGAAAGTTTGTATGGCACGTCTAATGCATTCTAAGTGGAAGAATGTCGTTTACAAAGGTTTGCGTTTGTTTTGAAGAAACATCACATTCTCATCAATTATTACCTAGTCAGATAAAATGTTTTTTTGTCTTCCTCACATAGTATTTAATTATTTATAGGGATTCATTGTCGTTCATCATTCAACGACACGTCGTTTTTTTGACAAAGTAATGTTAGTTTCATGGAAATTAAAACGACTGCTGCCAATCCATGTGGCCTCCGTTTGATTTAAGGGGAGAAAATAGGAAATAGGGATAAGTAATATGAATCGAAGGAAATGAAAAGAGAGATTTTTTCTAATGTTGTTTGGTTTGTAATTTAAGAAATAAAATAAATTTTTTTTTTTCTTGTTTGTTATAGAGATGCAAGGGGAAGAAAAAGAAAAAGAAAAATTGTTTAATGACTACTTATTCTTTAGTTAATTCGGCCTTTTTTAAGTATTTCAATGATAGAATAATTTCACACTTTAAGTTTTGGGTATACTGAAAAGATAAATGTTATTTTGTAGTCACCGAATGATATCTATTATTTCTTAAATTTGGTCCTTATAAGATATGTGTTTATTGTGATGTCCTTCCCATAAATGTTACTCATATTTTGTTAGGACTTCCGTGGATTAATGATCATGATGTGAGATACGTAGAAGGGAATCAATATGTTTTAAAACATTATGGGAAAATCTTGATCGTAAAACCTGCTACACCAAAAGAAAAAGCATGCGTGTCTAAATTTATTATCTTTTTCCCAATTTCTAGTGTACCAAACCCATCTATTGAGAGTTAAGAATAAGTTCTACCAAGAAACAGTAGGGGTCTAATTTATTATTATTTTTTTCCTTCTTTTAAGATTCCAAACTCCAAACTACTCAAACTTTAGATTTTATCTACTAATAATTAATGGTCTTACTTCTTACCATCACTGCGGCCTTAATTTCATATAGATAGAGACATTCGAGTTGAGATGTGATTTTATATGAGAGCTTTTTACCACAATAAAAAAGTTAGATGTGACTATCTCTGAAAGTTTTTTACTGTAGCAAAACTCAAATTTTAAATTCGAATCGGTCAAATGAACGGAACCTGTATTTACTTTGTAGAATTGTTCTGTTGTCTTAAGCAAGCAGCCTTATGTCCCAAACGACGTGTAAGCCGTTGTTACTTGTTATGTCATTAAACCGATATGTCGTTTTCCTTTTGAAACTAACAATCATCTCAACCGTCCAATGAACTTCGTACGAAGTCCTCCATTTCTCCACCGATCGCCACGTGTCGCATCACTCATCGTAATCCATGGCCTTTTCACAATTAAAAAAACAGTTAAATCCGTTACAACAGGATCATCAACAACAAAAAGTATCTGAACCTTCCTTCAATCCCACGTTAACTTTTACCTCTTCACTTTATAAAATATCTTCAGAAAACGACAAAAAAAGGTTATTTACATTTTTATACTTTGCGTTTTAAATTTATTTAAAAAGTATACTCTTAATTCTTGATCTCATCAAATACATATCTTTAAATTAAATTAAATACATGAATGTGCACCTATTTTCAGTGAAAGTTAAATTTTGACCATGAAAATGACACGATTACCCTTAAGGAGAAAAAAAATCTAAAATTGAAATTGAAAAGAAAAACTAATGAGAAAAAGAAAACAAAAATCTAGGAATTTAACAAAACAAAAACAAAAACAAAATGAGCCTAATCACCTATGTTCGTCCCATTGTGAATGTGAATGTGAGAAGGACTATATCCAAGAATGGTGAAGGACAGAGGCATCATTGTTTTACTGTGTTCTTGTTCTTTAAACTATTAGGTTTTATTCAGTTTGTTAATTTAAATTTAAATGTGATTTTATATGAGAGTTTTTAATTGTAATAAAAAAGTTAAATGTGACTTTTTATTAGATTTTTTAACTGTAGTTGAAATTAAAAACTCGAATCAGTGAATAAACAAAGCCTTAGAATATTTTTTTTACATTCTCTTTTTTTTTAAAAATTTTTAGAATTTCTATTTGTTTGTCTTTAAGGGTAGTTATGTTATTTTAGTGATCAAAATTCACTGTTGACTAGGAAAGGTAAATATTTACCTATTAAATTTAATTTGAATATATATATATTTAATAAGATTGAGAATAAAGGGTATACTTTTTTAATAATCTTAAAACACAAGCTATAAAAATGTGAATAAGCCAAAAAAAAAAAAAATCCACTTAAAATCCCCAAATTGCCCTCCACGACTGTTAACTTCGCAGACTTCAAAACCGAAATTTGCAGTGCCACTCACTCTCTCTTTCCTCACTCACTCTTTCTTCATCGTCTCTCTCTCTCTCTCTCCGATTTCCAACGACGCCGAATCCCTCCGCTAAAATGGCGTCTCGCATCGGCGCGTACCCATGCGCCGCCATTCTCCTCCACCGGAAGCACAACCGTGCTCTCGCTCCGATGCCGGAGCCGGCGACGCAGTTTGGGAGAGGAAGAAGCGCAAGGAACGGGCAGGGGCTGGGGATGAGAGTTAGGGTTTCCGATGGCGGAGATTCTTACCTCGATATGTGGAAGAAGGCGGTTGATAAGGATAGGAAGTCTCTGGAGTTTCAGAAGATCGTCGAGAACTTGGAAGTCGATGCGATCGGCGGCGGTGGCGGTGTTGAGGGATTGGAGAGGAAGAGTGAGGAGTTCCAGAAGATTCTGGAGGTTCCGAAGGAGGAGAGAGACCGCATTCAGAAACTGCAGGTTATTGACAGAGCGGCGGCGGCGATCGCGGCGGCTCGCGCAGTTCTGGAGGAGAAGAAGCCAGAGGGAGAGCTGGATTCTGGTGAGTCGGAGTCTTTGGGAATTGGGGGAACTAAGACTTCGCAAGAAGGTAAATTTGTGCTTTCTTGACGTACTTCGGTTCTTGTTTTGTGTTTTGATCCAGTTATTGTTATGCGTTGGCTGTGTTTATGCACTGAATTTCTTATAATTATTTAAGCATTGTTGAAACCTGGTTGGATTTTTGATGATTAACATATTAGCGTTCCATTTGTTGTACTTGAGAATTATATTCCTAACAAGTACAAATTATTTGTTAAAAAATTGTAGTAGATTTACATTCCCAGAAACTGCGAGTATGGGATATATATATATATATATATATATTTTTTTTAATAAAGATAAATCAGATCTATGAGTTCAGTTGGGTGATAATGATAATGATAATATGAATTTAGATGGATCCTGATGGCCTATGTTATTTCCGAAGATTAGCATCGCCCTTTTTAAAATGTGGGAAGCGGTGGCGTATTGATTCCCATTGAGTAGTGTGGTGAAGACACTTGATAGCTATTGTTGCTGTCTTCTCTTTGGCAGTGGAATAGGGCAACTGTGAGGATTGCCCATTAACTTCCTTACCTGCACTGGTAGTTTAGTAAGGACTCCCGTCTAAGGGATTCCTTCACACTGCTCACGAGTAGTCTTGATAACTTAGCAAAAAATCTCTGTCCTCTATTAAGTTCTAAAGGCTCCATCCCATATGACAAAGTTCAAGTGTCGAATCTACGGATTCTTAGAAAGCAATTGTTGGACTATATGAAACAGGAATCCTTCTATTAGGTGGTTTGATGCAGAAGGCTCAAGAGATGGATCCGATAAGCTGGAGGAAAAACTCAGACTCCCGGCAGAGGAGATTGTACCAAAGGAGACCCGTTTACCGGGTGTGTCCTTAGTTGCCCCGGAGAAACCATACCCTTAGAAGCTTACCCAATTTTACAATTAAATCAAATTGATGCATTTAATTTCCAGATTTCCTCCCTTTTGCCTGTCTTTTCTCTAAAATCGTAGAATTCCTACGCTAATGAGCTAGAAGAAGCAACCACACCTTCTGGTCAAATCAAAGGGAAGGAATGTTCCTTTTCAATGGCATTTGACAAGTTCCTTAATACCCCTGCCAAAGTACATATACAAAAAGATAATCGCAAGTATGGCAATTTTGTTTTGGCGAACCTTCTTTAAACGAATTCATTTTACCTGCACCCTCTCTTTTATTTGTATATTTTGCTGTTTGTGTGGGTATGGAGAATGGGTTATAGTAGCATTGTTCTACAATATTCAGTTTCCAATTTGAATTCTTTGAACATTCCAGGAAGGAAAAGTTGGAGCAAACTTGTGGTCCTATCTGAACCTTCAAAAAATGGAATCCCAGGTCCAGATTTTTGGTCCTGGGTTCCCCCTCAGAGTGATGATAGAAGTTCAGATGATGTGGGTGACTTACTGACAACAACACAATCATCAGTTAATCCTATTCCAATCAACCCAGTGGTGGAGAAAGAACGCTCCATAGATTCTCTCTCAATTCCATTTGAAAGCAAACTTAATAAAACCAACTACCCACCTTTACCCCCTCTACAGTCACTGATGGAAGTTCAGAAAGAACAAGTCTCCGAATCCAGCGTAGAAATACCTTCCTTGAAAGAGGATCACGAACTTGGTCTTGAATCATCAGTTCATGCAGCTGAAGTAGCTCGTGCTCTTGAGCAGGTGGATGAGACATCACCCTATGGAGTGACTGAAGATGGTACAAGGTGGTGGAAAGAGACTGGAATTGAAAGAAGACCTGATGGTGTGATTTGCAGATGGACCATGAACAGGGGTGTTAGTGCTGACCAAACTACTGAGTGGCAAGAGAAGTTCTGGGAGGCTTCCGATGATTTTGGATACAAGGAACTCGGTTCAGAAAAATCAGGACGTGATGCAACTGGAAATGTCTGGCATGAATATTGGAGAGAATCTATGGGGCAGGTTAGTGGGAACATCATAACTGCAAATGCAATCTTTAGCTCCATTACTTTTTTTATTTCTTTTATTCCGCAGATTACAAGATTTCACAAGTAATCATTGTTTATATTGAGAGAGTGATTTATCTTATTTTGTATTGGCAATATAGTACGTGGGCTGTTCTATTGTAAGTATGCTTTGGCAATATAATGCCTAGCTTAGCTGGTGGTGCTCTACCGACCCTATTGAGTGTCATGCATTGACATGCACTACCTGCAGACTGAACTGGTTTTAAGCCTTGAACAGCTAAGAAAAAATTCCAAACATTTTTCCTATGAATTTAAAGGCGTTAAGCATCCTTTGATGATAATAATTTTGTGAAGTTGGTCTATGATCCACTCTTTGGCATCCTATCCCACGGTTGCAAATTTGTTAGACAACTTGAACTATACAGGTTCTTATTTGTTTGCAGGAGAATGGGCTTTTGAATATTGAGAAAACTGCAGACAAGTGGGGAAAGAACGGTAATGGAGATGAGTGGCATGAGAAATGGTGGGAGCGTTATAATGCTTCTGGCGAAGCTGAGAAATGGGCCCACAAATGGTGTAGTATCGATCCAAACACACAACTTGAAGCTGGTCATGCTCATATTTGGCATGAAAGGTATCGAACCTCTTATGCAATCTGAAGTACTTTCTTATCTGATTTTGTTTTCTTCAAATTAGTTTATCATGAAAATTAAGAGTTAGCCAGCATTTCTTTATTTGTACGAGATGAATTTAATTGCCACTAGATGCCAGTGAAATGTTGCCGACACTCGAGGACGATAAAACTGCTGTTGTTGTGACAAAATTGTTCAATCATCAAAACCATGAAATGCCTTCTTATATCCAAGACACTTACAAGTACATTTGTAACTTCTTGCAGGTGGGGTGAGAAGTATGATGGACATGGAGGCAGCACAAAATACACCGACAAATGGGCTGAGCGCTCTGAGGGTGATGGTTGGACCAAATGGGGAGACAAATGGGATGAAGATTTTGATCCAAACGGTCATGGTGTGAAGCAGGGCGAAACATGGTGGGCAGGAAAGTTTGGAGAGCGGTGGAATCGAACATGGGGCGAGCACCACAACGGTTCTGGTTGGCTTCATAAGTATGGGAAGAGTAGCAGCGGTGAGCACTGGGACACACACGTTCAGCAAGAGACTTGGTATGAGAGGTTTCCTCACTTCGGTTTCTATCACTGCTACGACAACTCAGTCCAGCTCCGGGAGGTTCCTAAGCCATCCGAGATGCCCTAAATCAGAGCTTGATTCTCTAATGCATAACAGAAGCCGTATATATATACATAGAATATTGCGTTACTTGAGTCATATATAGATCCCTTTACCTGAATGCTGTTAAACAGGTGGGCATAGCTTACAGTTGAAGTTCCTATTAAATAAAGGTGTGTTGATTGCTTGTTCTGTCGACCATTGAGAAATGTAAAACGTGTATTGAGTTTATTAATTCATCTGGCATAAGAATTAAGAAGCCTGAGGTAGGAATAGGATCATGTACTAGTGTGCTTTTAAACATGGTTGTGGTATGGGCTCAAAAGCCATCTTTCGTTGTTCTTGTTCCTTTTTATTTGTTTAAACTTATATTAAAAGTGCGGTTAATAGCTTAAAAATCCCTGAATATGAAGTGTTAGTTTCCGAAACGATTTTGGATGCAGAAGTGTGTGAATAGCAGGTCATGTATAACAAAAATTTTCAGAAAACTTTTGAGATAGTCTATAAATTATATTAATTTATGTACGAATAAATTAATCACAAGAATTTGATTAGAAATTATACCTAGCAGCCGATTTAGGATGATATATTGAGTTCTTTGATCTCGAATGTTCTTTGCTCTAAAACTAGTTTAAAAAATCAAAGTCTTCATCGTCAATTCTTAGAATCCATTAAGACGTGTGTGTTGGCACACCTGAGATAAAATAGGATTAGCAATAAAACACTTGAATTTTTCACGAACACCAACACATGTACAACATGGAATTTTTAGAGAAAATTTTTCTTTCCCACTCTGAAATTTTCGGCCACCTTTTAATTTGAGAGAGAAAAATTGTATCTCATAATTTTCTACAATTCTCTTATTTATAGAGTAGTAGTCAAACTCCTAGAAAGAATCAAATCTTAGTCTTCAAGATAGAGCTTATCAATTATCTCTCATTTAAATTTGGAACAAAATCTCCCACTCCCTTATCCTTGTATGGCCGGCCACCATAAGGAAGCTTATCCCTGTGATTAGGCGCCAATTACAAATAGGGAATGAGGAAAAATCCTAATTTATCCCGCAGTCCAATTTTAACTCAAATCTAAATTTCAATTTAAGTCAAACTTAAATCAATTGAATTTCAAATTAAACAACTTATCAAATAAGTTTAAATGGATAATTTTAGAAGTATTCACACTGTGCTTTTGCATTCATACTATGTGAACACCTTTACATAAGTGATCCAAAATTCAAATTTAAATTTAAATAATCACATTATTTAATTTATAATTAATTATCCTTGAGTGTTTTATTTTAGAATTTTATAATTCTAAAATTCTCATTTTGCCCTTTGTGTCTTATGAAATTACAAGGACGGTACGGGGACTAATAGACCTATAATTTCAAGCTCTAATAAAATTAATAATTTATCAAACACTTTAATTAATTAATTAATTCTATTAATTTCAATAGTTACTCTACTATAAACATGGAATTGCACTCTCGTAATTATAGATATAAATTATTTCTAAACTGTAAAGTGTCCATTTGATATAGTCATTTCATATAGATCAATCATCCATAAATAATTCATAATTAGAGTTAGGTGAAATCTGTTAACCTCTATAATTACATCTTTATCCTTGAGTACCATTGATTCTCTAGTGGACAGTGATTCATAAAACACATTCATGAATCAGAGCGCTCTAACTAATACAAGTACTGAATCAACACTGCAAGGGAATTATTTATCTATTTCTTTCTTAAGAAGGAATGGATTCCATCTCGTATAATAACATTCCCGGCTACCTACTTCATCATGTCTCCAAAATACAAGGAATATGATTCAGGATCTCAGAATTCGTACTGAGTAAATCAAAAGACACAAATCTATAAATAGGAGTATGCTAAGAACTCAAGATTAAGATCATTCTATATATGACTATCGATAGACTCGATTAGAATTTCTATACTTAATGGAAATTATTAGAAATTCATATTGTGTCTGTGTCCCGGTTCTGCATAATCTCATTATGCATAATACACTCATTCAATATCTCATCACATAAACAGTGCAGATAACATCATTCCATTCTAAATGAAAATGACATGTATTAATAAGGTTTTAATTAAAGATTCTAAACTTTAATTAAATTCATTACGAACATAATTTTGATTATTATCTTTATATATTATCCCCTGGCATATAACACTTATATACAATGTTTAAGGTCACGTAAATAATCATAGAATTTTCATTGATATTTATAAAATATTCATAAATATATGCACATAAAATGATGAATAAACTCTTTTATTAAATAATTAATAAATATCATATGACATCTCATGCTTCTAGGACACCATTTCCAACAATCTCCCGCTTGTCCTAAAGTAGGTAGAATAAGTCTTTAATCCTGAAACTTTCTTGGTGTTTATGACTGATCTATCCCTGGAACAACTTCCAGATTAGTTAAAAACTTTATGGAGTCAGGTTATTTTCCTTTACTACTTCACAAGCTGCAACACATTAACCCTTAATGATAGAATTAACAATCACACTTTGCCAACAACCTTTCATCTCATGACTCCTTCACCTAGTGTGAACACAGATTTAGATGTCGACTCTCAAAATCCTTTCATGACTCATAGTCACAGTCTGTGTATCTAGTTAAAGGATAACCCTTTGACTGACTACACTATCTTATAGTTTCTTACATTCCTCATACATTTAAGGATATACTACATCGCTACCCAATGATCCGATCATGAGTTCAACTGACAACGACTAACCACTCCCGCTGAATATCAGATATTCGGGCTAGTAAAGGAAAGAACATCTTTTTTTCTTTCGTTTGATACATCTTGGTTTTGATCAAATCTATAAGACTTAATAGCCTTATCAAACCTGATGTTTCATAATCTAGAAGCCTGCATTAATCCATAAATGGATCTCTGCAGCTTGCAGACTTTCTACTCTTGGCCTTGCTCTATATAATCCTCTGGTTGATCCATATAGATGGTTTTCTCAAGATAGCCATTCAAAAAAACTGTTTTGACATCCATCTGCCATATCTTATAGTCAAATTTTACTGCTATGGCTAGGAATATCCGGATGGACTTAAGCATGGCTACTGGTGAGAAAGTTTCTTCATAGTCAACTCCCTCATTTTAGGTATCTCCCTCCTTTTGGGTATAACCCTTAGCCACTAGCCTTGCTTTATAAGTCTCCACTTTTCCATCCACCCCTATCTTTTTCTTGAAGATCCATTTGCATACAATGAGTTTTACCCCTTCGGGTATATCTAAAAGTTTTCAGACTGAGTTAGAGTACATGGACTCCATCTCGAGTTTCATAGCTTCTAGCCATTTGTCCTTATCTGAAGTATCCATCGTAGCCTTAAAGGTCAATGGATCCTCCTTACCGTAATTAGCAGTGACGATTTGCGCCTCCTTAGTATACCGATCAGGTAACCTACTTACCTTCCCACTACGACGAGGTGCCATAGGAGTCTAATTAGGAACTGTGGTCTTATATCCTCATGTTCCGACAACTTTTGTCGGTTGTGGTCCGATCTCATCAAAAAATAACTCTTCCAGAACTACTTTACTTTTGGGCTTGAAATATATCATATAGTCATGCTCTAGAAATGTGGCATTTGTCGATACAAACACCTTTTGATCCTTGTGACTATAGAATAATTCTCTTATTGTCTCCGGTGCATATCCCACAAATATGCATACTTCTGATCTTGGTTCCAACTTCTCAGTCTTTTGTTTCATCACATGAGCCAAACACCCCCATATGAGAATATGCTTCAAAACTGGCTTTTGACCATTCCACAACTCTAAGGGTGTCTTAGGTACAGACTTAGATGGTACCAAGTTTAAAATATACACCGCAGTTCTGAGGGCATATACCCAGAATGAAGTATAGTGAATAATAACTCAACATTAATCTTATCATGTCGAGCAAAGTCTGATTTCTCCTTTTGACAACACCATTATGCTGTGGTGTGCTGGGTGTTGTCAGTTGTGACAACACACCTTCTTCAATCAAGTAATCCTGGACGCTTGGTCCATGTATTCTCCCCTTGATTCGATCGAAGTGTCTTAATTGGTTTACTTAACTATTTTTCAATTTTTGCTCATAATTCTCTTAACTTTCCAAAAGTTTCAGATTTCTGTTGCATTAGGTAAACATAACCATCTCTCGAATAGTCATCAATAAGAGTGATGAAATATTCGTAACCTCCTCTAGCTTGGACGTTTAATGGTCCGCATACATTCGAATGTATTAGCTGAAGTGGCTCTGTAGCCCTTTCTCCTTTCGTCGTGAAAGGCCTCTTGGTCATTTTACCTTCTAGACAATATTCACAGTCCGAAAGCTCATCAACTTTTAGTTCGCATAAAGGACCATTCTTTCCCTGTCTTTCAATCATGTTTAGATTAATATGACCAAGCCTAAGATGCAACATATATGTGTTAATCTTTTGCTTCTTATTCTTAGGTTCGGCAACTTTGAACATTTCAGTATTAAGTCGAGCCAGACATCAGTTTAAAAGGTATAAACCATTTTCCAAATATCTAGAACAAATATCAGAACCATTTCAAAAAATTGTGGACTAGATTATTATTAACAATAATTGTTCAAATAATTTGGAAACATACATCAAATTTCTCTTTATGCCTGGAGGGAAATAAACATTGTTGACAATAAGGTATTTATTATTTCTAAAACAGAAGTCTAACTTCTCCCACTGCTTTCGCCGATACCCTCGCGGTATTCTCACTTTCATCGTGTAGTCCCCGACGGCAAGTTCTTTGTGGGAACTAATATTTTACAATGAAAACCACACATGACTAGTTGCTCCCGAATCAACTATCATGGACGAAGAATCACCCTCTACTAAACATGTTTCAAGAACTAGTAAATTTGATTTACCTTGTTCATTTTTCTTCTTCAGCTCCTCAAGATACTTCTTGTAGTTTCTCTTCCAGTGCCCATCACCATTATAGTGGAAACACTTTCCTTTAAGTTTCTGGTCGGAGCTCTTCCTTTTTGCCTTCTTGTTCTTCCCTTTCTTCCCTTTTCCTTGGTTCTGGTTCTTTCTTTTATTTTTACCAGATCCTCCTGCAAGAATAACATTTGCTTCTTCTCCTTTGCTTTTGTTGGTGGCTTCAAAGTTTTGCAGGTCATTTAAGAGTTCAATAAGGTTGGACCGTCTTTTGTTCATAATATAGTTGTTCTTGAAGTCTTGAAAATTAGGGGACATGCTTTCCAAGATGATGCCAACTTGGGTGGCTTCATCGATTTTGGCACCATTGAGTTCTGGCTTATATAGGTGAGTAATCATGTTCAAAACATGTGCCTTGACCGAAACGTCATTCTTCATCTTGTCATTCATGAAAGCCTTGACATCATCTAAACGAGCATTCTCTGAAGGAGCACCAAACATGGCTTTCAGAGACTCCATTATCTCATAAGCGGTCTCTATCTCCACCTGCTTCTTGTGAAGCACATCGCTCATGCTGGCCAACCTATAGTAATTTGCTTTGTTGTTGACCTTGGTCCAGTGATCATAAGGCTCCCGAATGGTTTTGGATACGTTAGCCGTGGGTTCTAGAGGACATTCCTCTACTAGGAGAAATTTATAGTCGTCGCAGACTAATAATATGTTCATGTTACTTTTTCACTTAGGGTAGTTATCATTGCCAGTTTTTCAGTCACAAGTAGTGAGATTATAGGATTCGACATATTGCTAGAAAGAAATAGAATATTCATCTAATCAATTTATGTGCATGAATATCAAGACATGTGAATTTTGGCACAATTAAATATGATGCATGATGCACATGAAAAATACATAAATTATGTTTTAATTTTAGGTGCCAACGATAATCCAATTTATCATGAACATAGTGCTGCCATAGGGTAGGTCAAAATATTCACAAATTAAACTGATACCTTCTTAATTAATAAAGATAATCAAAATATCTCATATTTTCATATTTATTAACTGCCGTTATTTTAGTCAAAATATAATCGACAATTTTGATTATATTTCCATGAGTGTAACCCATCATTTCAGATTCTACGGACTTAACTCTGGAGTGACACCATAGAGTAGGTCAAACTGAAAATATATCTTTGAATCCTATCTCTAGGAAGTCAACCTTATTATTGACCCGAAAGAACACATTCTGTAGGGAGTGCGGAATCGGTGTTGCCGCGAAGTCCCTTTCGAATCTCACAGTGTTGAACTAACAATGGAGACCAGTGGGTCGTATTGTCATACAACCCTCTCCCACTCACTATTTTACAAATATGTATTTTATTTGAAAAACATCTCATGGTGTTCAAATGCCAATAAATAAATAATTTATTTTTCATATATGTGAAACTCTAAAATTCAATTCTTAAATTCAATTTCACATATAACATTATTTCACAAATTAATTTTGCAACTTAAATCAATTTGATCATATTAAATCAATTTTAGCTCAAGGTTTTTATTTTATTTTATCCTGTTAAAACTCATTTAAATAAATAATAATAAATGCGCGTGTATACATGACATGTTATAAAACATATGAGTAGACATACTGTACTTATATGGCATGTTATATGGATGAACATATATTATACAATCATCCAATAAATATATGTATAAAATATGCAATCGGCTATTAGATGGATTTGACCGGGTCCCATGAAAAATATAAATTACAACCAAATCGAATAAATAAAATAATTACAATAATTATTTTCTTCCGTAACATCAACGGGTCTTCGATTATTGAATTCTTCATTCTTCGGCTTTGTTCTTCCTTTCAGGTCAGATTTCACCTTTTTCGGGGTCCGGAACAATTCCGGGTTCCTCAGGATGCATAACGAGGGTTTCGAAAACCTCGGGCTCATTTGGAGTCCGCTGGCCACGCCTGATGGCCCTGGCCGCGCCTTGCTGGCCGCTCACAGCCAATGTGTTGCGGGGCTATACCTGTGCAGAGATGCTAGCGTGTGCTGGGGTTGCGCGGTGGAATTACTAGTGTGTGCTGGGGTTGTGCGGTGGAATTACTGGCGCATGCTAGGGTCGCGCAGTTAAACTGCTGGCGCGCGCTGGAGCCACGCGTTGGGGCTGCCAGCGCATGCTGGGGCCGCGCGCTAAGGTACTGGGCAATGATCTTGGCCAACTCCAAGGCTGGTCTTCTGGGCTTCCTTTGATTCAAAATCAAAACTCTAATCTACCCAAAATCCTAGAATTACAATAATTCTAATTCCCGAATAAAAGTACAAATAATTTAAATAACGAATTTAACCGATCCATGGAACTATATAATTAATGACCAAATCCATCATCCATACATTTATCAACATGAATACATATAAGCATCCATAAATAAATGTAAGTGCCCACCCATCACATACATACAAATTAAATATTACATATTTAATATATTATTTGATTAGCACATAATTAGAACATAAATTAATATCGTCTATAGATTGCTCTGATACCAATTGTCAGTTTTCGAAACGATTTCGGATGCGGAAGCATGTGAGTGAATAACGAATCATGTATAACAAAAATTTTCATAAAACTTTTGAGATACTCTATAGATTATATTAATTTATACACGAATAAATTAATCACATTAATTTATTTATTAAGAACTCAAATAGGAATTATACGATTAGATGATATCTTAAGTTCTTTGACCTCGAACGTTTCTTGCTCCAAAACTAGTTTAGAAAATCAAAGTCTTCCTCATCAATTCTTAGAATCTACGAAGACGTGTATGGGCACACCTGAGACAAAACAAGATTAACACTAAAGCACTTGAATTTTCTACGACCACCAACGCATGCACGATGTGAAATTTTTGGAGAAAATTTTTCCTTCCCACTCTATGAAATTTTCGGCCACCTTTTAATTTGAGAGAGAAAAATTGTATCTAACAATTTTCTACAATTCTCTTATTTATAGAGTAGTAGTCAAACTCTTAGAAAAAATCAAATCTTTATCTCTAAGAAAAAGCTTATAAATTATCTCACATTTGAATTTGGAATAAAACCTCCCACTCCCTTATCCTTGTATGGCCGGCCAACATGAGTAATCTTATCCCTGTGATTAGGCGCCAATTACAGATAGGGAAGGAGGAAAAATTCTCCTTTATTCTAGTCTAATTTTAACTCAAATTTAAATTCTAATTTAAGTCAAACTTAAATCAATTGAATTTCAAATTGAACAACTTATCAAATAAGTTTAAATGAACAATTCAAGAAGTGTTCACACTGTGCCTTTACATTCACACTATGTGAACACCTTCACATAAGTGATCTAAAATTTAAATTTAAATTTAGATAATCACATTATTTAATTTATAATTAATTATACTTAGGTGTTTTATTTTAGAATTTCATAATTCTAAAATTCTCATTTTACCCTTTGTGTCTTGTGAAATTACAAAGACGACGCGTGGAATAATAGACCTATAATTTCGAGCTCCAATAAAATTAATAATTAATTAAACACTTTAATTAATTAATTAATTCTATTAATTCCAATAGTTAATCCACTATAAACTTAGAATTGCACTCTCGTAATTATATACATAAATTATTTCTAAACTGTGAAGTGTCTAATCAATCCTTTATAAATAATTCATAATTAGAACTAGTTGAAATTCGTTAATCTCTCTAATTACATGTTTATCCTTGAGTACCATTGATTCTCTAATGGACAGTGATTCATAAAACACATTCATGAATTATAGCACTCTTACTAATCTAAGTACCAAATCAACACCGCAAGGTAATTATTTATCTATTTCTTTCTCAAGAAGGAATGAATTCCATATCGTATAATAACATTTCCGGCTAACTATTTCATCATGTCTCCAAAATACAATGAATAGGATTCAGGATCTCAAAATTTGTACCGAGTAAATTAAAAGACACAAATCCATAAATAAGAGTATGCTAAGAACTCATGATTAAGATCGTTCCATATATGACCATCGATAGACTTAATTAGAATTTTTATACTTAACGGAAATTATTAGAAATTCATATTGTATATGTGTCCCTGTTCCACATAATCTCATTATGCATAATACACTCATTCAATATCTCCCCATATTAACAGTGCAGATAACACCATTGCATTCTAAATGAAAATGACATGTATTAATAATGTTTTAATTAAATATTACGAACTTTAATTAAATTCATTACGGATATAGTTTTAATTATTATCCTTAAATATTATTCTCTGGCATATAACACTTACATGTAATGTTTAAGGTCACAAAAATAATCATGAAATTTTCATTGATATTCATAAAATATTCATAAATATATACATACAAAATGATGAATAAATTATTTTATTAAATAATTAATAAATATCGTATTATATCTTATGCTTCTAAGAGATAATTTCAAACATTAAATTCATGACAAATTGGTTAACAAACGTTAACAGTTTGGACCATTTTGCAACTAAAAGTTTTATTCAAGAAGTTTTTTATCTTTAAAATTAGTTTTGGCAGCAAAATATCACTCTTTTAAAAGTTCAGGGACTTCTAGAGCTATTAACCCCTAAAAATATTATCCAGACTTTGGAACGAAGGAAGAAAATTTCATCTGCCTTTTCAAGTACATCGGTGTAGGGACCGTGAAAGTAGTGAGATGTGACTTGAATGTATCTTAAATCGTGAAATGAGCCTTTTTAATTTGAGTTTCTAAATTAAATTAAGATATGACTGTTTATAAATTTTTTTTTACTATAACAAAAAAAAAAAAAAGACTGTTTATAAGAATTTTTATTTAAAAAAATTATATATAATTTTTTATGAGTATTTTTTATTGTAATAAACTGAAATTAAAAAAGAATACTTGAGCTTTTGTTACGAGATAGGTGAATAAAACGGTCGTCTGTCTATAACAATGTCGTTTTTATCTGAGTTCTCTCCGCCACCAGTACTTCCACAACACGTGGAGCCTTTCTATCCAGAAAATCAGGAACCTCTTATTTCTCAGTGTTAACTTGTTTGTCGTTTTCCTCCTACTGATACGTCATCCGGCAATGATCTATTCCACATCGTCAATCTCCCTTCCTTTCCGCTTAAGATGATTTATGCTGATCTTAAGGTAATTGAGACTTGAACTTATTACTTCAGAATTGCATTTAGTTCTGTACCTTTGTGAGTTTCTTCTTCTTCTTCTTCCTCAAATGGCCACTCCATTTCTCAATGGAGCAAAAAATCTCAACCCCAATTGTGGGATAAGCTCAAACAACCTTAACGTCCACAACAGATGTCGTTTTCCCAACAAAACCAGATCAGTTTTAGTACCCAGATGCAGTAGCAGTAGTATCTCATCATCATCAACTTCGAGGCCGGCTTCTCAGCCCAGATTCATACAGCACAAGAAAGAGGCGCTTTGGTTCTACAGGTTCTTATCCATTGTCTATGATCACATCATAAATCCTGGCCATTGGACCGAGGATATGAGGGATGACGCCCTTGAGCCTGCTGATCTCAATGATAGGAATCTGACGGTTGTTGATGTTGGTGGTGGGACCGGGTTCACTACTTTGGGAATCGTGAAGCATGTTGATGCTAAGAATGTTACTATTCTTGACCAGTCCCCTCACCAGCTCGCCAAGGCTAAGAAGAAGGAAGCCTTGAAGGAGTGCAGGATTATTGAAGGGGACGCTGAGGATTTGCCTTTCCCAACTGATTATGCTGACCGATATGTTTCAGCTGGAAGGTAAATTTTTTATTTGGGCACCAAAAAAAAAAAAAAAAGATGGTTTGTTTTGTCTGGTTTGAGAAATGGGATTTTGGGGAACAAGTTTTTTTTTTTTTTTTTTTTTTTTTCTGAATATGGGGAACAAGTATTTGATTTCCTTTGAAGAACCCAAATTGGGATTTATCTGGAAAGAGCGAATTTCCAAAAAGTGAGTGTCATTCTGAATGCATTTGTTTTCTATGTTTTTGGGAATATCAATTTGATCGCTTTGCATTGTGATTCTGGTTTTAGATGCTGAGAGCATCTCCTATACAAATGTTAATGTCCAATTAATTTGAAACTAAAATATGTGAAAATATCATAATTAATTTGTTATTTATTTGGTTTTCCAATTCATGTTGCTACTTCAAATGTTATATTTACGTTTTTTATATACATTTATAAGTTTTGTAACCTGTAAAAGTAAATTTTTAATTTTAAAATAATTTAAAAATAATAATATTGTAATGATCAAATGAAAAGGTCAATATATCGATGAATAACAATCAAATATCAAAATTTGATATTGATATTTAATATATGTTATATTTAGTGTCAGAGTTGAAACCAAGTAAAACATATGCCCATTTTTTTTTCTACTTAGATACTAAAAGTTGGTATTGACTCTGCATTGGGGATTCTTTAAGAGTGGTTTTAGTTTGAATTTGGTACATGTGAATACCTCAAGTATGATGTTTGTGTGCACAAAGACAAGAGTCACAAAGTACATATCCTGTTTTCTCAAATGGGTCATGATGTGTTGGATAGCTTGCCAGTTTTGAGTTTTATAAGGTGAATAACAAACAAGGTTATGCATCGGAAAGGAACACAATGTTAAGTCATGCCAAGATCATCCATTCATGTTAAATCATCAAGAATAATAGATTACATGCGGAAGCGTACCTGAGTCTATAACAACTGATATAATTCTTGAGTCTTGTAATTCTTAATCTTCTAAATTAATGCGTATGAATTTTTTAAAGAATGAGCTCTCACTTTTCTAATGATAGGATGTCAAAAAAGAATCGTACGTATAATTTGAGGACCCTAACTATTTATAATTGCACATACTTTTTTTATTTCTAATTTTAGCCCATCATAAATTAAAAATTAGAAATTAAGGTTTCTATATATAAAAGCTCATATTTTGTGAAATGACTTAGGCCCATTTAACTTTAAACCTTATAAAATCACTTTTAATTTGGACCAAATCTTTATGATAGCATATAATACACAATTAGTATTATTTATATATATATATATATACACGTCCAAAAATCTAACACACAAACATATATATATATATATATATGTGTATATTTTGAGAGACTTGTTAGTGTTACATTTCTCATGCATTTTTTTTCTTTTTTTTTTTTTTTGGTGTTCCTTAGTATTGAGTACTGGCCGGATCCACAGCGTGGAATTAGAGAAGCATACAGGGTGTTGAAGATAGGAGGGAAAGCTTGTGTAATAGGTCCTGTATATCCAACCTTTTGGTTGTCTCGTTTCTTTGCAGACGTGTGGATGCTCTTCCCTAAGGAGGAGGAGTACATTGAGTGGTTTAAAAAGGCCGGCTTCATTAATGTTCAGTTGAAAAGAATTGGCCCGAAATGGTACCGTGGCGTTCGCCGTCATGGCTTGATCATGGGCTGCTCCGTGACCGGTGTAAAGCCCTATTCCGGCGACTCCCCTCTTCAGGTATCTTCTTAAATCGAGTATTTGTAAATTTATGGCTAGTTTCTTTCATGAGATTTCCTTTGGTTCCAAAAACATTGCCTTGCTTGGTAACACTTTTGATTTTTCTTGTTCTGTAGAGGGAAAAGAATGGTGTAAAATCTTTATTTTCCTACACTATTTTTTTGTTGACATGAGAAATAGAAGAGATCAAGAGATGTTAGATATGATTCTTTGACAGGTTATATCTTGAGGATTTTCATTGTGCATCAAATAATGCTTGCTATTTGCATTCTTTTTTGCAGCTTGGTCCAAAAGCCGAGGATGTGACGAAGCCGGTGAATCCGTTCGTGTTCCTCCTGCGATTTGTTCTCGGTGCAATCGCGGCAACTTACTATGTCCTCGTTCCGATTTACATGTGGATCAAAGATCAAATTGTTCCAAAAGGAAGGCCTATCTAAAACGGGTGGAAAAGAGAGAATGACTCTCACCATTCCTTTATGCTCAATTGACTCATTGGAATGGTATGGTTTTTTTTTTTTTTTTTTTTTGTGACCGCTTTTGTTAGTTAACCAAACATGTTTCCCTTTCACTTCTTTTAGGCTGTAAGTAGTAGTGACAAAATTTTAGATTTTGTGGGACCTAAGGAAATTGGTAATCTGCTATAATTTTATTTTTCTTGTACAGCATCTGCTCCAAGAGGCAGGTAAGCTGGCTTCTTTTTTTTGTTTCTTTTTTTTTTTTTTTTTTTTCCAACTCAAGTTATATGAACATTTTCCTTGAGAAATAAGGAGTTTGCTTCTATTGCATTTTGCTTATCTAGTTATTGGTTCTTGTTAGAAGCCATACTTCAGATAGTATCTTAAGATCCAATTTTTCATTTTGGACTGATGTGCCGTTTTAATATAAAACAAGAAGGCTAGACAAGATATGAATTTATATTTTCCTTTTAAACACACCAAGAATGTGCTAAATAATGCGTGCCAACTTTGTAGCTTGAATGAGTCATGCTAATGATTTCCACCATTTTTTTTTTCAACTTTCAAGAAACTATATGAATTTATAGTTCCTTGAAACTATATGATTTTGGACTGATGTGCCCTTTTGACACAAAACAAAAAGGCTAGACAATATATGAATTTATATTTTCCTTTTGAACACAAAGAATGTGCTAATAACTCATGCCAACTGTGCATCTTGAATGGGTCATATTCAATGATTCCACTAAAGTTTTTTATTTTTTTTTTTCAACTTTCATGAAACTATATGATAGTATAATTAGTAAACTAATCATACTAAATAAAAAGGTCCAGAAGTTTGTCTCAACTTGGCGCCTAGAAGAGAGAGAAAAAACAGAGGACATTTGCTATGCACGGTTGCACATAACCCAAGATTTTTTTAAAATTTTATGGCTTATTTTTCACCTAAACTCAAAAAAAGTTTGAACTCAAATTATAACTTTATTTAAATTCATGTTCTTTTGTAAAATTTGAGTTTGAACTTAAGTTTTAACTTGAGTTTGAGGCTAAAATCTGAGTTCAAGTTCCCCTTTCAACTCAAGTTCCTAAACTCAAACTCAAGTTAATGAACAATATTTTTTCTATTATTAAAAACGTCATAACTTTTTCGTTTTAATTCTGATTGAGATGATTTTTTTTTCTATGCGTTCACAATGAAAAGACGAATAAAACCCCACCATATATCATATTAAAATTTTCCATCACTATTGAGTTCTTATTGAAATACTATCCAAATATAAATTCAAGTTTTGATCCACCTAAACACAAATTCAAAAAGATTCTTTAACACCTCGAGAAATTAAACATGATTAATTAAGATAATTAGGATTTATTAATGTGCCTAATATGGTTTAATTAAATAATGATGTTTATTAAATGTTTCTGATTTGTAAATTTAAATATTTTTAAGGGATTTAAATATTTTCAGCATTTATATTTTTACCTCAGAAGTGTGTTGAGACACATTTTCTGGTTTACTTTATTAAATATCTTTAATGTTTATCCTTTTCTTTTTCTTTTCTTCCCGTGATACTCTCTCTCTCTCTCTGTCGTTTCCCTTTCACTCTCCCCCTCCCTCTTGTTTATCTCATTCTCTCCCGTAGCTCTCTCTCTCACTCTCTTAAAAATTCATCAAATCTTCCAAAATCTTGAACCAAAAAGGAACTTCAAGGAGTTTTCAACATCAAGGGAATGATTTGGGGTATGATTTCTGAAAAACTTCTCTTAAATCTTGAATTTTTCCTTTAGAAAAACTTACTTTTAGTTCGAATTAGATTTTGATGGATTTTGGGTAAAATCATTATGAAAATTGGAGAAAATGGGTTCTTTGGACTTAATTTGTTGTCTGGAACCTAGATTTGTTGAATTTCTTTGAAAATATCTCAGATTAGAACTCAGATTGGTATGTTTTGGCCGGATTTTCTTTGGATCGGCCATGTCGGTCGAGCTGTCCAGCTCCCACTGGCCGACTGGTTCCCTCTTCACCGGTCGACCGGTGAAGAACAACTTCTCTGTCACCGGTCAACCGGTGCACACATTATCTGAACCTGTTTTGTTTTAAAATGGATTAGCAGTTGCGAACCTAAAGTAGATGGATTAGCATATTTAATCCAAGTTTTGAGATCAAAATCTTTGAAATGATGATTTGAAACATTAAATTATTTATGAACTTGGAATTGGATTAAGGCACACTAATAGGAAATTGAAGTGTATAATTGAGATTGATTTACTTTAGGAATGAGAAATGAATCCTAAAGCGTTGTTTTGTATCAATGATAGTTGAAGAATCGAATTGAAGGGTTCGAGAAAGTGGAGGCTAGGATAGCGCAACGCTAGCCACATTTTTAGTGCTAAGAAGTAGGATTTCTTATCTTTTTCTTTGACAGCATGTTTTAAAGAGTTTTGGCCTTACAAATGTTTTAAAGAAAGGACATGTTTGTGAAAGAAAAGCATTTTAACACAATAGCTTGATTTTAGCTATTTGAATTATAATGAACTATTTCAGAGTTTTAATGAACGATTTCATATGATAATATATCTTGCGAATTTGTAAGCCTGCTGATGGCCTAGATAGGATATGAAGATCGTATCCTTGGGGGCAAGACCCAAAACCCGGATCGGGCCACTACGTGGTGATAAGGCTTGTGCTTGTGGTTGTGTAAGTAATTTATCATAGTATAAATTACTTGTTGATGCCTGAAATACAAAAATTTTTAAATTTATATTTCCTTTCAGAAAAAGGATGTTAGGTTCTGGCTGTTGTGTTGGAGCTGACTATCTTTATTTACTTACTCATTCATTTATTTACTTGTTATGAAGTTTATTTCAAAATACATCCTACGGGGCCTTTTGCTCACGTTTTCTTCTATTTCTATAAATATTAAACCCCTCCCAGGCGACACTAGAAGCAGTGCTGAGTAGCTGAAGTAGTTGCTACCGTCCGATCCAGTGAGGATTGTGCCAACATCCTTGTGGAACAATGTAAGGATTGTAAATTCTTAGAATGTAAACTTTAAATCTCTAGATTGTGGTTGATGTCTGTAAATGATATTTACATGTTCATGTATGTACAATATTGTATATCCTGTGGGTGGAACCCTGAACGATGTCGAAGGCTTATTTTAAAACTTGTTTTTCATAAAGTGTGAAAGTCCCCATCACTTTCTTGTAATTTAATTTCAGCAAAATGTGGGGCTTGTTTATAAATTCCTTTAATATTTTACTTTTAGTTTTGATTATTATATTTCCAAATGTTTAATTACTTTTCTTAATCATGTTTAATCTCTAAACGAGCCTCTACGTCACTAACCCCTATTTTGGGGCGTGATAGATTCCTATCTCAAATCATAACTCAAATGTACACAACCAAATAAAAACTTAAGTTACAACTTCAACTCAAGTTATACCTCAAATTCAGCTCAAAATCTACACTCAAATCACCATAACTCAAAAATGCAAACAAACAGGCCCTTAGAAAGGCAAGTTGGCACTAAAGATATCCATTGTCTAGGGCATTGTTCTTAGGCTTAGGGAAGGGCTCTCTCCTAAGAGTGGTAATTCTTATTAGTGGGTCGTGTTCGTATCAACTCGTTTATTAATCTTGCCCTAAAAACGTCAACCTAAACACGACCTCTTTATTAAACATGTCAAAATGTCAACCCAAACACGACCTATTTATAATCATGTTAATCATGTCGACCCGTTTAAATTATCATATTGAATAAATAACTAATATAATAATGACTTATTTAACACGGTCAAGACATGTTTAGCATGTTTCTTGATCAATTTATCTTTTTCTTTGAGAAAAATAAATGAATTTTACCTACAAATATTAAAATTCACATTATTTGTATTTAATATGTCACATAAACTTTCATATTATATCACATATCATTAGATTGTAATGACATATATAGTTAATCGTGTCAATTTGTATCACTTCGTGTTAGGAGGTCAACCCTAACCCAACTCATTTAACAATTGTGTCAACCCGATTATGATCCAAACTCATTTATAGTAAACCTAAACCTACTAATTTCATTCAAATTTTAAATCGTGACAACCCGAATTGTCAGCCCTACTTTCTCTTATGAAGAATCTTATGTAGAATTTAAGTTCAAATGCTTTTTGGTACTCCATGTTGCCACTTTTTTTTTTTTTTTTAATGAGCATAAATGGTAAAAGTTGGGGTGCTACGTGCTAAACAAAGATTCAAGTTCAAGTCTTGTCCATGTACTCGGTTTTGAAGGGAAATTTTGTTGGAATTCCATTGAAACAGTAGGGTTGGTGCTAGTGCTACATTCTACTTCTACCTCATTAGAATTGGCATTTCTTGAACTTCATTTTAAGAAGCGTCTTTGGTATTTTTTTTATCCTGAATTTTGATCGAATTAACGAGTTGGATTTAAAATTTTTAGTTGTGGTAATTTTTTTTTCCTGAATTTTGTAAAATGTTGTAGGGTGCCCTCAATTGAAAAATTGATGTTAAAATTCGAAAGAAATACATTTATTTATGTGACATGACTCACACTTATCATTCATACTTTTTAATATATTCTTTTAAATAGGCAGGTGTAATTTATATAAGGATATTTTTGACTAAATTTTAACAGTCGTCATGATCATAAAACACTCTGCATTATTTCATTAAATTTAAAGGGTAATTGCTAAGGTTAAAATTTAGAACGTATGAAAACTTTATGGATATGTTCCAAAAACCTCGTGCAAGAATTTCGTTTTGCTCGTGTGAACGCGTTAAACAAAAAGCGACTGAGTTTTCCTTGGCATAATGCAAAAGACTTTTCAACTAAAAAAAAAAAAAAAAAAGAGCTCTAAAGACTCGTAAGTTCGAATTTGAACACAAAAATCAGGTGTTGAGAAAAAAAAAAATGCATCTAAAGCCGAAATGGCCAAGTGGGGTCTCAATAATAATTCAGCCATTTGGTACAAGTTTTTGGCCATTTAATGCCATGGAGTTGCCACCAAATACCAATTCCAAGAATATTGTTCATCTTGAATTTGTACATTCAGATTTCTTGGCTACGGGCTAGCCTCAGATGAGCTGCAATTGTTTTTTTGTTACATCCAATGGAGTCACAGCTTGTATATTTATATATTAGTGACCCCACAAATGAAATCAAGAAAATGAAAATAGCATATGAAATGTCGTGACAAACTTAACCAAATCACTCCACATATATTAGTCACTGCAACATATATGTATATATATATATATATATATATCTGTGTGTGTGTGTGTTGATTGTGACTCCTACTTCCCTAGGTAAAAGGTTTTTGGGAGTTGGAACATTTCTCAATCCAAGTTAGTATAGGGTAAAAATATGAATTGGAAAAAAAAAAAAATAAAAAAATCCATTTCATAGGATCCAAAAGTTTCTAGCATTTCTTGCAAGAAATGTTGTTTGCTTCTAGTTGAGTCTTCCATTGATGGTTTGAAAGTCTAATGTTTGGACCACGACTAAGTGTGGCATTTTGCCGTCTGTCCTCAATTGTAAATCCCCCTAAAACTTTTTAATTATACCAAATTATTCCCAAGTTTAATAAATATTGTAGAGTGTGCACTTAAATCGATGAATGATATTGTTCAAATTTTAGAAAAAAAAACGTACCCATTCTCACGAGATAAAAGTCTATTTTTTTAAAAGAGGTCATGTAGAGTGCGTGATAATATGTTTTCATTCAAATTTTAAAGGGTAAATTTGTCAAATTCTGAAGGCACTCGTGTGCCAAAAATGTAATTAATGTTTGTAACAAAGACTTGATAAGCTTCAAGACTTAGTCACTTTAGCCCAAAGTCACATACATACGAAACCGTACAAAGGGCTTAATTAAATGAGGATATAATGAGAAAATGGCATGCATGCAGCAGCTGAGCCAATGACAGGAAGGAGGAACCGCGTCGACAGCTAAGCGCATTTAGTATGATTTCAAATTTAAGTTCTCTAAATATATATATTAAATCTTCTTTGATGGATTCAATTTAATAGAATTCTTACAAAATGTTTTTTTTATTATATTTTTTTTTCCCTTTCTGGATATATTTTACCAAGTCATAGATATCCCACGACAAAACAATCAAAGACTTAATTTATAATTTGAAGAGTACTTCGTCACAGAAAATAGCATTAGGACCTCTTGTGTGAAAAACATGAATAATGGCAAATGATGTATTAAAGCATATTCAATACAATAGTATAATTGACGTGCCAACTGTAAATTTAGCACTCTTCAATGCAATGTTATTTATTGTGCTAAATTTTTCATATGCTATACTTTTTAATAAATTTTCCACCAAGTATAGTATATGAAAAATTTAACATTCGATTGTTATTAGTTGAAATGCTTACTTTTCATGTAATTATTACAACTTTTGTATTTTTTTTAATTGTTTTAAAAATAAAAGTTTATTTTTACAACTTTCAATGTTAATGATTATGAGAAAAAGTATCATTTCAAATAGCATTATACATTAAAACAAAAATGAAAATAACATATCATATCATACTATTTGATGTCAAATATACAATTGACATTAACATATTAAAGATGATCTAACTATATATGTAATCTTTAAATTGTTAGAGCTCTTTGGATATCTGTAAATTACAATTCATGTGTGTTTATATGATCACTATTACTAATTATAGTTGGGAATGAAAAGTAGACCGTGTTTTAGCTTTTAACCCTCTCTTGATTAAAGATATGTACAATTGGTGTTGTGATCCCTACTGCATTTTCTCTGCATTGCCATTAGACTAATCCCATCATCTAAAACGCGCTATGCGCAAAATAATAAAAATAAATAAATAAATAAAGAAGAAGAAAAATCTCATGAACTTGAAATTTGGATTGTTCCAAAATTTGGGAATCAAAATATTGGTACTGTGAAACATATATATATATATATATATATTTATTGAATTTCACCTCACAAAAAACAATTCAAATTTCAATAGTCCAGATTGTACAATTAGAAAATGACTGGTCGTATTATACTTGTACCGTGTGATCTTTTATAACCAACCAACTACAAAGCCATTTTGTGTTTTGCAAAAAATTACAATTAATAGAAAGTGAGTCGCATGTATAAATCTTATATATTCTTAGCATTCCCACCGGTGCCCCTAACATTATAGATATTAGATATTTATACAAATATCATATCTATATGTAATGCCCGCACGCATCATCACTAATGACGCGCGTTGAGAGAAATTGCAATTTTTTGGTGTCAAAATTAAATTTAAGTTAAATTAGTGGAAATGCCTCTCTTCTCGTGCAAGCAACGCAGCGTGCTTTTTGGGGTTGAAAATTTTGGGAACAAAATACACATCTCCCCATGCCCTCTCCTTCTCATATTATCACTCTTTGAATGCTCTTTGTCTCATAAACATAAAACACTCACAGCTGTCAATTTCTTATTCAAATATATAAAAATAATGTATGCTTACATTTTTTGCATAAGAGAAGAAACAGATTAAACTTTGGTTTGTAACATTATTATTTATTACTAACCTTTTTGGTCCCATCAAATTAAAAGTCCATGTTGAAACTAAAAAGTAATACCCCCAAGAGTCTTATGATTCTTTTTTTTTCCAATAAAAGCCATGACTATAACACCAAAGTCCAGTCATAAGTTTAATTTGACTCATATTAATTTCTTGTTTTTTTTATTGAATTAGAAGTCATGAAAAATTTAGAAATGTGCTATGCGTTGCCATATTGAGGTTCTACATAAACCCAGCTAAGATTGAGCTATACTCAACATTCACCATACACCCTTCTCTCTCTCTCTCTCTCTCTCTCTCTCTCTCTCTCTCTCTCTCTCTAGTCGTGCTTACTCTTTCTCTCTCCTTGTCTCTCTCTCTAAAAAAAGACTACACTTCTTTGAGGTCTCTAAAGGAAACGACATGGCAGATGTGCTTAGTGAGGAACAGATTGTTGAGTTTAAAGAAGCATTTTGTCTGTTTGACAAGGATGGAGATGGTGAGTTTCCTGCTATCTCCTCAATTCTTGGTTAGTATTATTGCGTATGTGTTTCTTTCTTTGTGTTTTCTGTGTGTATGCGTGCGCGTATGTATATATATATACTAAAATATGTATATATGTATGTCTTTATATGTGTATATATCTCCTTGAATAATGGCTAGTAATATTAGTTAGTACTCAGATTTGGATCAAAACAAACTTAGAAAATGTCTGAGAAAGTTGCAATATGCACACATTACACGCACACGCACACGTATATTTATATATGTATGTATATATGTATATATTTATTATGAATGCTTTAATTTTGTAGGTTGCATTACTATTGAAGAATTGGCAACGGTTATAAGGTCATTGGATCAAAACCCAACTGAGGAAGAGCTTCAAGACATGATAAGTGAAGTTGACTCTGATGGAAATGGGACAATAGAATTTGCAGAGTTCTTGAGCTTAATGGCAAACAAAATGAAGGTATAATATTCTGGATTTCAATTTCTTTTTTTTTTGTTGCATTTTTACAATAATTAAGCACTACCATGATAATAATTTGATTATTATAAATTAAATTACATATTTTCTAGCAATGAAAAAAAATAGAGAGAAAGGAAAGAAAGATCTATTTTGATGATGTTATGTTAAAAATGATAGAAACATGTATGAGACACATATAATACTATTAATGTGCACGGTGCAACTGGAATGTAATTATAACTAGTTAATATGTAGCTTAATTGAACAAATATTTAACTCATGATTTAATGTGCTAATTATATGTTGCAGGAAACTGATGCCGAGGAGGAACTTAGAGAGGCTTTCAAAGTGTTTGACAAGGACCAGAATGGATATATTTCTGCTAATGAGGTAAAAAAGAAAAAAAGAAAAAACAAATCCTCTCTTAGCTTGTGTATGTGAAAAATACCAAAGTAGACCAGTTGACAAAATCTCATATCATAGATTAAAAAAGTAAAAAGCTTAAAGCTTTTCTGTTATGTGTTTGTGTGTGTGAATATATATGAATGTGTGTGCAAAAGACAGGATGTTACCAATGATGTCATTTTCATTCTATAAAGATGACTTTGACAAAAGAGATTTATATGTATAAAAAAATAAAATTACTTTCAGAACTCGTATTTTTGCTAATCAATAGTTTACAGAGCCCAAGGAAAAAAAAAAACACTCACCTATACAGTAATTTACGGTCCCGTTTATTTCGCTGATTCGAGTTTAGAATTCAAATTTTACTGCAGTAAAAAGCTCTCAGAAACAATCACATCTAACTTTTTTGCTACAGTAAAAAGCACTCACATAAAATCACATCTCAACTTGAATTAAAAACTTGAATCAGTGAACTAAACGGGCCCTACATATACATACATATATATATATTTATATATAAACAATCTTGAGAAGATGTATTACAGCCAACAAGAGTGTTGGTGTTTGGTGATCTTTAGCTGTGCAGAGAGATTCAAGTTTATCTACTATTGCTGGGGTTTGCCAGCAAATTGGGGCAGAGAAACTAAAGATTAGAGATTTTTTAACCTTTTTTTTATGGATAATCGTGAAACTTTCTTTTTTTTTTTTTCCCAAGTTTTAATAAGGGTAATTCACATGTTTTAACCTTAGTTTATATTAGTTTTAGTTAAAGTATCTCTACCATGATCCTCTGTACCTATTCCTCATGCAATGTATATAAGCCATTCTTTGATTAGACTAATGATTTCCTTGTTTTCACATACTGACTTTTATTATGTACCAAAAAATGGAATCTAGAAAAATAAAATAAAATAAAATTTTATTTTCCTTTTGCAGCTGAGGCATGTCATGATCAATCTTGGGGAGAAATTAACAGATGAAGAAGTGGAACAGATGATCCGAGAGGCCGATTTAGACGGTGATGGTCAAGTGAATTATGATGAATTTGTCAAGATGATGATGACCATTGGATAGAAATCTACTCACCTTGGTTGATGAAAAAAATATCTTAATAAAAAAAATTCATTCAATTTCTCCACCCCATTTTATTTTACCTTAAAATAAGTGTTAATCTTCCTTGTCTTGATGTTGTTGTTGTAGTAGTAGCCCATTGATGTCAAATATGACCATAAGCATTAGAATGACTTGAAAAACTAGAGTTTGATTTGTTCAAATTGTTCCATATTGTATTCTTTTGATTTCTATTCAATATAGTTCGTGTCCTTCTGTTGGAAAATAACATTTGCAATTCCATTTAGTAAATTTAATATTTATGATTTTTGACACTTTTGTCTCCTGAATGTTGACTTAATTGACAAATTATTCTCTAATATAAATCGTGATAAATTATACATGAATTTAATAAATATTGCAAAGTGCCCCCCCCCCCCATATGGACCATATGGATACATAAGGTTAAGTTTTAGACAAAACGTACTCCAATAAAAAAAAAAGAAAAAAAAAACAACGTAACCATGCAAGTGAAATAACGTGACCAAATTATTAAGTGAAAGAACGTGACCAAATTATTATATGAAATTTTGGTCTCTTTCTTTAAACGAGCTCGTGTAACATATATAAGAGTGTTTCTGTCTAAATTTTAATAACCGTTTTCGATTATGAGATATTCCATAATACTTTGTTAAATTTCGGGAATAATATTAGAGTTAAATCTTCCAATCGCTAACAGTTCAATGGGTAGATGTGCCAAATACTCCATAATAATAAATAAATAAATCCAAATTGTTTACATTATCCCCCAACTCATATGGATGCAATCTGAGTTGAAGCTTCTGCAACATTTGGGTCTCAAACTTTGACCAAGCACCACAAATTGGTTGGAAATTTTGTCCCAATACTTTACAGGATTTTTAGGAGTAGCCTTTTGGAAAAGTGTACATCTCAAATTGACCCTTTCTTTCACACCAACTTTAGTTTTAGGGCAGTGGAGTATAACCAAAAAGTTAATAAGATTCAGCTGTCCGTTTCACATTATTTTCTTTAGAAATGTGCACAAAAGTTCAAATCCAAGACCGTCCTTGAACCGTGTGGAACTATTGTGTTGTCATTTGGTTTGTGGAAAAAACAAGCCAAGACTGTGGAACTAGTCTCCGTCTGTCTCCCTTTGTGCCTTGGTTGTGTTTTTAAATCTTATTTTCCTTCCCATCAATTTTGTTGGAATCATTGCTTCAATGCTAAGTTTGGTTAGTATTTACGCCAAAGTTTTCTTTGTAATGTGTTGTCATTGAAATACAACCACTTGACAGACGATTTTATTTTGATACGAAAGTGTAGTGATGTTTAAAAATGTGCATAAGCGCTTTAAAAAAGAAAAAGAAACAAAATTATTTTTGCATAAAGTATGTGAATTTTAAAAGGGTGAGAAGAAAAAGATGAAAAAGAATGTTATAAGACACCGGGAGTCTCGAACACCGCCAACTAATAGAAGGTGGGTCCTACTGTATATGGCTCACATATAGGATCCACATTCTATGAGTGATGGTGATTTAACACAGATGGTACCCCTTTTTTTTTTTTTTTTTTTTTTTTTTTTAAGTGTTCAGAAACCTTCCTAGTTAAGAAAAACAAGTTTACTGCAGAAACTTTGGTGATAATTTTACAAAAATTTTGGAAGAAATAGTTTTACATTTTTCTCAAACATCTAAGTGGGGTTTCGGCCATGGACCAATAATTTTAACTGAGATTTTGGATTCATGGCTTTAAGAACAGAAGAGGCCATATGGATTTAAGGAATCACGTACCTTAAGCTTTAATGGGCCTTAATAGCTTTGTCGCCTCTAGTCTCTGACGAGAGAATGAAATAAATAACATATTAATAATTACAATAAATTTTAAATTTTAAAATTATTTAAAATAAATAATAATAAATTAATTATTTAAGTGGTAAAAAAAATTTATCACGAAAATTCAGATATTAAAAAAAATTTACGTGATAAAAAATCTTACTATATAAACTCAATAGTAAATAAAAAAATTACTAGATAATTTTTTAAAACGATTTATTGCAAATATTTTAAAATTTTCTATTTACTTATTTTAGTTTTAAAAATGTGCCATTTATTATAATTTCTGAGTCTCAACACTAACATTTACATAATTTGTGTGAAGGTTTCAAATTAAAGATTGTGGAAACATGTGTTCTATGTTTGAAACCTCTAATAAATTAAATTATGAAGTGCCTCTTCTCATTCATGATTCTCACTTGTAATCATTATTTTTAGAGTTCTTATAATTTGTCGTTGGCTATTGTTTCTTTCTGTGCACGCGCGTAACTTATCCTCAAATTTTCCTAAACAAATCTAAATTGTTGGTTATCTATTTTATCACAAAATGAATCAATAACCAACAATATGAGCCTATCAAGAGAAAGAATAAGCGCATACGAAGAATTTATAAATTATAATTACAAGGATTCAAACTCATTATAATTACAAAGATTCAAACTCAAGATCACCGTTTATGATACCACCATGTTAGTTACAAATTCTCCTAAAAAGCATTGGTTACTAACAAAAACTTCTAAGGTAAAGTCTAAAGAATCTACTTTACATCTCATGTTGCCTCCCTTAGATACATGGAAAACAGTGTGAAAATTCTATCTTGAGAAGTGGACAGCATTGCTTTCTACATGTGCAATAGTACACAATGATTTGTAGTAGATAGCAGTGAATGGGCATCATCATGGACGGTTTATATATATTGTTAAGTAAATTTAGGTGGGACTTAAACGAAGCAAGAATTATTAGTAATTTACAGTTGTATATTTGTGGGTAAATTAAAAAACTATAGGGATCATAATGCATGTGATTACAAGCCTATTAACTTTTCAGTTCTTGTTGATCCAAATAGCTCCAAACTATGTGCATTTGTTTAGTGATGAAGAGCTTTCATGCCTCTTTTTTTTTTTTTTTACCTTAAATTCAAAACCATCTTATCTCAACACTTTTTATGGAGTAAAAGCAATTTGACTGATACCCATCTAAAATAAAATTTAGTTTTTTGAGTTAAGCTTGATGATGAAATGAATCTTTGCTTCTTTGGATGGAATTTTTCAGTAATATCATTATGGTAAGGGTAAACATGGACAAGTATTACATTCAAAAGGTAGCAAAAAAGCTACCTATATAAATACAAATTTCCTCCAAACCTTACAAAGTCTCCCAATCAAATAAACAAATGAAAACTAGAAAGAGTCACAACTGGGGTAACTTTCGAGAATTTAGGACCAATAAGCATAGAAATAGAGGTGAATGGGAAAGAATAAAAAATAAAAAAGAAGCAAATAACTCTTGTCTCTCACCAAAAGTCCATTTTCCAGAAAATCTCCATTAGGAATCCAAGTGAAACAGATCAAAAAAATGTAACAGAAAACTTTCACAAAAGACCCTTAATTAGCTAATTAATCACAGTAGCACAACACATGCAGTTTCCAAAGAGATATGACCTTGCCTTGCGCTTCTCTTTGCCTTTTGTTGAAGCTGAAGAAGTGGCTTTTTTTGTTGATGAAGATCTCCACAAATCCTTTGTTTCCTTTTGTTTCTGTGGTGTGACAACAATATGAGCTTCTTCTTCTTCTTTAAGGAATCCGAGAAATGGAGATTTCGACTTATCTGAATCACTTCTTTCCAATGTGACAACTTTCTCTTCAAGTGGCATTGCTTGGTCTTGAGTACTATATCCATTGACTGTCAAAGGGGTTCCAAGACTGATCTCATCTTGGCTTGGTGAGCTCTGGATTTCAGCCTTGTCCTGATATAGTAATGGGGTTCGATCAGATTCGTCGTTTTTGGCTTCATTTTGAAGATCGAGGCTGAAGCTCGGAGATTTCCTCATCTGGTCATATTGAACGCTCGTGTTATCATGCTCAGAATCAGTGCTGAACCTTTCCATGCTTCCCATGCTGAGCCTTTCCACACTTTCTCTTGCAGATGCAGACGTTTCGCTTTTCGATGAAATCTTAGATTTTTCAATGCATTCCTTAACATCTTGCTTAGAATTTTCAACTGCCATCTCATTCATGGATACTATTATCTCTGCAATCAAGTTTGTAGAGTCAAAAGTGGAAGCTTGGGCAGTAAGGAACTCACCATAACTATCTTTCTTTGGTTCTTGGATTGACTCGTTTTCGCTTGGAACAATCTCGGACTTCAATACTGATTCCTGCTGATTATCAACTGGAAGTGAGTCTTCTTCTCCAGTTTTTGTTTCTTCTGTGTCAATCTCAATGGCATATAAACTCTCCATATTCTCCTCTCCAACAATTCTTTTTTCTTTTGACGACTCTTCCTTGTGGCTGCAATCTGCAATATTTGACTCTGATGGAATGATCCCGAGTTGCGAACTAATAAATGCGTTGGCTTCTGAATCTTTCAAATTGTCCTCAGAAACCCAATTTTGGTTGTTGATATGAGAAATCTTTACTTCATGACTTGAAGGATTAACTGCATCCTTCTGATCCACAGCTATGGATTCCAATTGAAATGCACCGGGGTCTTCGGTGTCTGATTCTTTGACCATTTCTTCACAAGGTTTACTTGAGTTTTTGTCATGCTTATATTCTCCATTTTCCAACTCTAGTCTGTTTTCCTCTGCAACAGCCATGGATTTTCTTGCAAGTTCAGGAGCTTCCTTGTCGGGTTTTGTTTCTGATTCTGAGCAAAAATCTCTTGTTATGCTCACTTCTGTTGGAAACCCTTCATCACTTTTTTCACTTGGACCACTGAGATCACTTGATTCTGGTGTTGCATTGCTTAATTCATTCTCAAACTTGCCTTCATCTTCAACTTCATACTTTTCTTCGCAGAAATTTTCGATCTCTTCCTTCACTGCCTCCTGCTCTACAAGTGGCTCATCCATTTTAATTCCTATCATAGTATTCAATTCAGCATCCACACTTTCCTCTAGATTCTCCGTAACCTCGGTGTCTGACAGCATTAACCTCGATCCTAAAGCTTGCTTGGTTCCATCCGATGACCCATTGGCGTCTGGTAGAGATGGTTCATCGTGAATTATGGCCAATTCTTGTTGAACACTCTCTGAAAAAGCAGGTTTTTCAGGTTCTGGATCATGTGGTGTGGTAGATATTTTATCAAAAGCCAAGTTTCTTGTTCCTTCTTCTGCTGCCAAAAG